CATGATGGAAAGAGAGAGGAAGAGAGAGAGAGAGAGATAGAGAGAAACCCTAGCCGCTAACGACATTGATGCGCGATGGAGAGAGAGAGGGAGGGAGGGAGTGAGAGCTCTGATTTCATGTGTGTATGTATGTATGTGTGTGTGTGTGTGTGTGTGTGTGTTAGGGGTGTCCTCAGTTCGGTTTAGGACGGTTTGCGGTTCTGTTTGAACTTGCCCGCATCTATGCGGTTTGGGGAAAAATCAACCCGCAACCGCCCGCAATGCGGTTTGCGATTTGTGCAAATAGGGTTCGCGAGTGTGCGGGGTGTTGCGGGCGGTTTGCGGATTGAACCTTTTTTCCAAAAAATTATTTTTAAACCTTTTTTTTCTCCCATTTTGTCAATCTTTATTTTGGACCTTTTTTCTCATATTTTCTAAAATGCTCCAACATTAATAATTAATCAACTAAAACTTATAAAAAAAAACTTATAAAATAAAAAACACAACAAATTCAATTCGTAACCGAAACAAATCATTCAAAATCTACATTCTATCATTAACTTGCATTCATCATATCCTACATTCATCATTCATAATCAAAATAAGAAAACCCTACATAAAAATTCAACATTCATCATTGCTAACCAATCCTACATTAAAAATTAAACATTCATCCATCCTAACCCAAAAAAAAAAGAAAAAAAAAGAATAATTCTTCATTAGCTTACATTCATCCAAAATGCCAAAAAAAAATAAAAATGCATTAAGTTACATTCATCCAAAACCAAAACGCAATTAAAATTTTTTTTTTGTCAAACTTAAACTTCATTCAATACAAACCCACGAAATAAAATTGAAACACTTCTAAAATATCAAACTTCATCTTCATGAATCATATCCAATTCAACTTTAACAAATTCCAATTCCATGCATTTGGTTGATGAACCCTACACAAACAAATTGAAAAAATATAAACTTTAATCTTCAATTATAGTTAGTAAGAAATGAAAAAATAAACAAATGTCTATATATTGCATCTCAATATAGTAGAAATGCATATCACCATGGGGAAATATAACACCACAATTAATTGAAGTGGAAACAGAAACTATCAAATACAATGTTCAAGTATAAAAAATTAAAAAGTCATTTTAGAAATGCAATTGAACATCAAAACATCATGTTTATTATTGCCTTTCTCACTTAAAAAAACAAATTATTAAGAAAAATGAGTAAAATCAAATAAACCTTATCTGGAAACTCATAAGGTGGAATAACTGGAAATAAAGCTAAAAAACATACAAACAAAACATAGGCAACCACTTTGCTGCTGAAATAGGAATTCAAAGGTGTTCAGACCAAAAACAAAGCCTTGCAGAAAACGAACCCACAACACACAAAAAGAATCAGATCTGTTTTGGTCCACAAAAAATCAGATCTGTTTTGGTCCACAAAAAATCAGATCTGTTCGTCCACAAGATCACCTGTGAAGTAGATCGGCTGTTCGATGAAAAAAATCGGCTGTGCGATGATGAAAAAAATCAGAGATCACCTGCGAAGTAGCCTGTGAAGTAGATCGGAGATGAAAAAAATCAGAGATGAAAAAAATTAGTTCTGTTGTTCATCCACAAAAAATCAACGATCGGGAGAGAGAGAGAGAGAGATTGAGAGAGAGAGTTCACCTGTGAAGCAGATCGGCTGTGCGATGATGATCGGTGCGATGAGATGAGAAAGAGAGTGATTGGCTGTGCGATGAAAAAAATCGACTGTGCGATGATGAAAAAAATCAGAGATCACCTGCGAGATCACCTGTGAAGTAGATCGGAGATGAAAAAAATCAGAGATGAAAAAAATCAGTTTTGTTGTTCATCCACAAAAAATCAACGATCGGGAGAGAGAGAGACAGAGATTGAGAGAGAGAGTTCACCTGTGAATGAAGTTGATCGGTTGTGCGATGATGATCGGTGCGATGAGATGAGATGAGAAAGAGAGTGATCGGTGTGTGCAGAAACGAGAAGAGAGTGAGAAAGAGAGACAGTGAGATGAGACTGAGAGAGAGTGAGGGAGGAGCCGATTAGATTACTAGGGTTTTTTATTTCTTTTGTTTTGTTTGTTATAGTATAGGTGAGTGAGATGGTGAGTGAAAGAAGAGATGGACGGTTAGATTTGAAAGAGGAAAAAAAAAATTTAATTTAATGCGGGCGGGTGCGGTTCAAACCCGCAACCCGAAATTTATATAAAATCCAAACCGCATCCTACCCTAATGTGTTTGCAAAACCGCCCACATGCGTGCGGTTCGGATCGGGTAAGGCGGTTTGGGCGGGTCGGATGACCCTATGCCCAGCCCTAGTATGTGTGTGTAAGAGAGAGAGAGAGAGAGAGTTAAGACCAGTGTTGAGAGCTAGAAATCGTCCTCGCCGGAAATCGCCATTGCCGGAAATCGCCTCTGTCTCTCCCTCTCGAGTGAACAGTGCTTGAGAACAAATCTTATATAGGTGGGTTTTTGGTAATAGTTGAAATATCTTTGGGGCATTTAAGTCATTACAAATAGGACTAAACAGCTTCCCGCATAATCTATTTTGAAAAGCACCTAGGAACCAACTTAAGAGATTATGGCTGAAATAACTCAAGTTAAGCTATAATCCATCCCTCATAATTTTTACCAAACACTCTAAAATAACTTATTTTAAGCTATAAGTGGCTTTAAGCTACAAATAAGTTTTACCAAACGGGCCCATATAAGATAATCTTAAAATAAAATAGTTGATTTGCTACTAACTACATTTATAAGTAAATTAGGTAGAAAAATAAATAAAAATATTTTCAATATTTTATTTAACTGTAATGAATTTAAATCAACATACAATAATAATTTAAAAAATATTATCTTACCTTTGAATGTGTTTTAAAACATGATACTTTAGAAACATAACAATCACTCCAATTGATGTATTGAATTATATTAAAACACTACATTAATTATCCCAAAATTTATATAATTTATAGAATAGAATTATCATTTCATTAAAATATTTATTTTACTCTTGGTTTACTAAAATAATGATAAAAAATGCATTAGAAATAAAATCTTTTTTCACTATTATAAATGATTGATTGTTTCATTAAAAAGACTTAAGGAATGACTATTTTACTCTATGATTTTTAAAGGCTACGGTGAAATTTGATTAAAAATTGATTCGGATCAAAATAATTAGATTAAACTGATTGAATTAGGCACAATTAATTAACCTTAATCAAGTTTAATTAGGCAAGCCTATAAATAGGCCTATGTACACTTGAGTTTACTCCTTGAGCTCATTTTCTTCCAACTTGGCTGAGATACACTCTAGAGAGAGAGAGAGAGAGAGAGAGAGACGGATCTAGATAGAGAAGAGGGCTCAAATTGTGGATTTTGGCTCAAAGCTTGGGAATTTGGAAGCTAGACTCAAGAAATTAGCTAAATTTGGAAGGGTTGGAGCTTCTAAGCGGGTAACTAACACTTAATTCATGAATTTGAGTTTGTAATTATATGAATTCAAAGAGAATTGGTAAACAAGAGCAAGGTTTAAGTTGTATATGACGAATTTCAAGTCAATATACACATGCATGTAAAAACTATCAGGATATGAAACTCAATTCTGAGGATTCATGTTTGTATTTAGAAGATGATTGGTGGAACATGAAGAATAGACATCAAATGACACATGCATGTATAATTTTCATGAACTACATGATTATAAATATCATTGAACCATTTGAAATAGAATTGGAGTCAAAATTTAACATGCATGCATAGTTCATGAAGATATGAAGTTTGTATGAAGTTTGAATGCATGAGTTTTGAAATTGATAAAGAGAATTTGGAATGATTTTGGAAATGAACCCTGATTTTGGACAATTGGTTTCAAAATTAGAAGTATTTCTATGTCATATAATGTTTTCCATGATTTTGTACCTAAAATGTGAGTTTTGAGCCTTTGGGATCAAGTTTGAGCTTCAAACGCAGTTCTGGAAATTCTAGAACTCGTCATGTCCGCTCAAGCGAGGAAGTGCCGTTTGAGCGTAATATACTAGCTCCCAGAAGTTTTGCAGACATTGATGTCTGCTCGAGTGAGAATAATCACGCTTGAGCGCCCACTCACATGTTTTGACCCTTGTCTCGAGCGACTAAAGTCACGCTTGAGCGCAAAATTGAGATAACCAGTACTTTTGTAAACCAAAGGGGTCTGCTCAAGCGGAAAGCCCTGTTTCAGAAATTTTGAAAAGTCGTTTTGAGTTTTGTTTTCCGTTCTTTTTCATTTCTAAGCACTCTTAGGCATGCGTTGGGCATTGTAAATGACCTAAAAGGATAAGAAAGAGGCCTAAGAGAAATAAATAAATTAAAAACGAATAGAATCGCTTGTAACCCAATATGTTATGAAATGTGTAGGGTCAAGCACAAGGACAAATCCATCGGCAGAACAATGTAAGTAATATCTTAGTAAGAATGTGTTAAAGTATTTTTTTTAAATTTTTAAATACACCTAACATAAATACACTTAAAAAGTATAATATTTGTGAAAAAATCTTTGAAAATTTTAATTAATACCAAAAATACAAAAAAAAATAAAAATAAAAATAAAATTCAGTACCTTTTTCTTATTTTTGTGTATTTATTAATTTTTTTTCACAAATATTTTACTATTTAGGTACATCTAAGTTAAGTGTATCTAAAAAACACTAAAAAAATTACTTAAAATTTTAGAAATATTCACTAAAAATAAAAAAATATAAAAAATAAAAAAATTAATTTAAAAATAAATTAAATTCAGAAAATTAAAATCAAACATACTATACTTTTCATTTATTTATTAAAAGTCTAGCCATAATGGACATTTTAAACATTATTGGACCTATTTACAAAGCACCGGCAAAAACAAAACAACCTACCAAAAAAAGCAATAATAATAACAATAAATCCAAACTAAAATCTCTACAAACAAAAATCTCCTAAGCCTTCTTGTTATTGAGGCTGCAATCTACTAAGCTTCCTTGTTATTGATGCTACTTTCATCCTCGGGATACCAGAACCTATTAAAAAACCACGCAGAGTCTGCTATAACGGGCTCGTTGTCTTGATTACGATGCCAAGTATAATAAGCATGAGTTCGGTTTTTAATCTCAAGAATTGCATGCCCAAAGCTTGCTTCACGATATGCAGAATAACTCGGTTGTTGATCTATAAAACTGCAAAATGAAAGGTCAATTTTATTAGTATAAATTTTACAAAATGGTTTAGTATGAGAATCAGTTGTCCTAAGAAAGAATTACAGAGTCTCTTACTTGTCAGCTATGCCTTCAATGTTTCCACCATCACCGATTGTTATGTATACTGGAGCGGAACTATCTCTAACCGGTCCACTCAGTCCATTTGTAATGTTGTACTTAACATTTGATATGCGTTCCTAAAACATAGGATAAGAAATTAGTTTTCATAAACAATATGAAAATAAATTATGCATTTTGTATTAGAAATAAAGCTTACTGAACGCTCATAGGAATGAACATGGCCAGCAAACACAATATCAACTTTGTGTTGAACAAACCATGGCTCAAACTGGACTCTCATACTTTCTCCTTCCATGTAATGGTAGTGGTTGCTATTGTACCATGGAGCATGTAGAATAACAATGATCCATGGAGTTTCAGACCTGTTAATCTTTGGGAGCTCTTGTTCAAGCCATTTGTATTGCGGGGTATATTTCCCTAAACAGAAATAAAAATTTGTTAACAAAACAAAACATAAAAGCATAAAATATGAAAGAAAAATAAAAAATGAAGTGGATTCATACCATAGGCTGAGTAAGAAGAAAGAACAATGATATATGTCGATGCACGCTTAATTGAATACCAAAGTGGGGAAGTACTCTGGGATGCCTTGTAGGGTACATGATAACGGTGCAAATATGGCTTGAAAGGAACACTTTCTCCCTAAAAGAGAAGATCATATAATCCATAAAATGATTTATGACATAAAAATGAGATTGGTGACATTGAGCAAAACATATTTACTTGGTGTCTTACCAAATTAGGAGCAAAGTCGAGTTTGATCTAGTTAAAGTGTCCCCCTTCCCTTCGGCCTTTGTAAAAAGTGTGTGGATCGTCGAGGGCTTCGTTTTGATCCGTGGATTTTGGAGTTTGGAACATTTTGGTTTCCTTCAACTTTCCCGTTTGAGCTCTAACTTCGAGGTAGGGATATCCTACTCCTCTTTATGAGCTTTGTCTTTAAATTTTAGCATTTTGATATATTGGGGATTGTTGGGTAATTTTGAGAAAGTTTGGGCCTTTGTGTAATTTTACAAAAGATGGGATTTTATTTATATAAGCCTATATGCATGTTTAGCATGGAGAAATGAGATAAATGCTGGGTTATTGATAGAAATGGAACCTTAGGGTTGTTTTGTTAATTATGGGAAATGCCCTAATTACATTGATGAATTAATTTGTGAAATTAATTTTGAGAAATGAGAAGTTGAATTGAGAATGTTGAAATTGGGATCGTATGGGATTAAATGGTGTAGTTGGATCATTTATCACTCACCTAGTTGAAATGTTGATATTTTATCCATTTTGTGCATTTATTTTCTGTTTAGAAATAACTGTTTTGGGCTTCTGAAGCCAAAATGGGCCTAGTTTGTGCTTTTTCCTTGAGCCAAGCCAAACATTCACCAGAAAGGGCGCAACTGAAACTAGGGGCAGAGACCAGAAGCTCTCTCGTCCTCCAAACAGGAGATACCTAGCCAAGTGTGAACCATAGATGAGGAATGAAATTAGGTACTCTACCCCCTCTTCCGGGCAAATCTGATCATGCCCAAACTGACGTCTGAACCGGAAAGAGAAGTAGAACACACAGTGTGTAAGGCCGATCAGCTGAATACCAGGTTGTCGAACCATGCTGTAACTCATCTCGGTCAGATTAAGCCAGGGGCATCGCCAAGTTATGTTAGCTGCAAACCCGTTGCACATCCAATGGCACCACCATCCCTCATTCAGGAAATCCATTAGTTGGTGGTAGAAGAAATAGTCTCGAGCTGAGTATTTAGGGCGAGAGTCCACTACCTTCAGCTTATCAATAAGCCACACCGGGGAAGGGATGAAAGAAAAGAGAGATTAAAGAATAGAGAAATGTATGATGAGAGAAAAGTGGGCTTTGAGAGAAAAACAGAGCATGAGTGTCGAGTGATATGAGAAACAGATATGAGTAAGGGTGGGAAACATAACCTGAAGAAGTAATGGACTCCTCGCGAATCTGGTGGTCTCTTACTGATGAAAGGAATCTAAGCCCATCAAAGTCTCGGCCAGTGCCAAGCCAATGCAACTCTTGCCTTCTTTCAAACCTTGGGCCACTTCGATCAACCGAATATTAGACCCGCCAAAACTAGGGGCAAGAAAGAAATGAGCCAGCATACATAAGCAGAGGGCATGTTGCCGAAAACCCCACAAGAGAAGGTCGTCTTGGTTACCGACGTCAGAAAATCAATGAATCAAGCTAGGAATGTCTAGCTCTCCGTTGTGGGCCAGAGATCGAGCCTCGTGCAGAGTGAGCCCACACATCCGTCCCAAAGCTTGGGCGTAGCCAAAACAGGGCTAAGGTATGATTTCCTCGTCGTGCTAGGATTCCATTAGTGCTTGAAATTCTTCAATTGTCGGGAATATTTCTTGTCCCTCGAAACTAAAGACGTGTGTAATCAGGTCCCAGCATCGAGCAGCGGCATAAAAGAATGGAAAACAAAGTGGAGTTCGGGTCAACGGAAAAATTGCATTTATGCCAAAATCGCGAAAACTTACCTTTTCCGAGCCGTCTAAAGTCACAATCCAATCCAAGAGTTTTTCGGTGAAAAATGGTTCATTTTTGGAAGAATTTGAGACTGAAATGAAGTTCTGAAGAGAAATCACGAAGCTGAACCCTTTTGTAGAAGATAAGGCAGTGAGTGGAAGCCAGCTGTCAACAATCTGGACGTTCTTCACGTTGATGGCTGGCAAGTGGTCAGCAGGCTGCCGGCAGGCTCCTTCTGGGGCCGACAGCTTTCTTTTCTGCCCTGTCATCCACATGTGTGCTAAACAATGCTTAAAGCATATGTTTTGTTCTATTCTTTGTATGTTTTAAAGTCTTGTTTTAAGTCCTTTTGGTTTTAGCAAGTTTGTTGAATTGTATTTGAGTTGTTTTTACTTTGCTTATCGAGTTGTCGTTGTTTTGTTTATCGAGTTGTATTTTCATATTTTGTATTTTGGTTGTTGGTCGGTTCATTACCTAATTAAGAATTTGGTTTCAATCAAGTGCTCTTGGCTATTTTGATTCTATGTCCATTTCATGCTATATGGTGCTCATTATGTAAAAATAATAACACTTTTTATAAAAAACTGCGAGGTTTCATTCCGATTATGGTTTTTTTTACAAAAGAGGAGTACAAGTTTTAAAGCAAATAAAACTTCCTAAAGCTATACATGTGCTAATGCTACCCAACAAAAAGAAATTAAGCAAAAATACAAAAAAAAAAATTAGCATCGGTCGCCTTATGATCGAGAGGCCCTCTTCGTTCTCTTCCTCGGAGGAGAGGACTCTGGGGCACTATCTTCATCAGCGCCGCTGTCTGAATCAGTCTCTGAGCCAGAACCAAAACCGGCATCATCTCCACTCTCTGCCTCAGAACCCTCATCGGCATCGTCGCCTTTGCTTTTAGAACTCAAGCCAGCATCATCATCTCCACTCTCGGACGACTCAGAATGCTGACTCGCTGTCTCCTCCAAGCCACTGGTCTTGGTATCGTCATCCCTCAAGATGGGCTCTGGAGGACTGCTCTGGGCTCGGGTACTCTTATCTCTGTCTCTCCTCCCTACTACTGGAAGAGATACTGCTGGTGCCGTTGTTGTCGCTGCTGGTGCACTCGGTATAGCTAGGATCTGAAAAAACAGTTGCCACATATCAGTTTCAGTGTGTGTATCAGATGCAAGCATAGTATGCAGAATGAGTGTATGTAAAAGTCAAATATAGTGTATGAATACAGTAGGTGAATACGGTATGCTAATGTAGTGTATCAGTACAGTTTGGGGAAGTCTACAGTTGAAATGCTAGTGCATCAGTGGAAATTTCATAAGTATGAAGTGCAAACTGAAGAAATTACCGGGATGCCGTGGAGACTGAGCAGCGTCTCCCTCCTCTGTACCATGCCCATCAATGAGGCTATCAGCTCGAGAGCGCTCCCCGTGTACTCTATCGATGCTTGCAAATGCATTTGGATGATCAGTGGTCGTAATAAATATATTTGAAATGAATTGTGGGGTGCAAATCGTAAAGTATAGTCCATACCTTAGTCGAGCCTTGAACCCCGACAAGCTCATGATCAGCCATTGCAGACTCAATCGGGACCTGGTAAGCCACCCCAGTATGGCGCTAGCATATGAGTGCGGTGGAAAGCTCTGGCCAACCGGTCTTCTACCTCGCCTGGGCAGCCCCTCTAGCATGGGCCCTGGTCGCTCTAGTCACTCTAGGTACCTCTCTCGTAGCAAGAGCCCTCGCTCTCTTACCTCCACGAGCGCTTATCAGACGTGGCATGAGGTATGTCTGAATGAAGGCCGCATAATCACCTTCTGCTCTAAAGTAGTCAGCATCCAAGCCTACCATAAACTGAGTGACTGCATCTATGGTAAGGCTGTCTGTTGTCCTCATGGACTCTGGTGGTTCCATCGAGACGATCAGGTCAGGCAGGCCCACAGTCTGGTGCACAGACCGCTCGCTCAAGAACCAGGCCCAGCAAACTAGGCCCTCGAGTACAATGCGGAAGCGAGAAGTGGCAAGAGCTCATATATCCGTATAATGTGGTGAGGCCGGCTCTGCTCCAATCATAAAACTAAACTCAAGGGAGGACCACTAAGGCACTCAGCAAATACAGGCCCACGCTGTTCCACCTATTTGAAAACAAGGTGGTACCGAAGATAAACATGAAGAAGCCCCTGGCATACTGCTCTATCTCCTCAATCGTCTCGAGCTCAGTCCCCCTGAACTGCTCCTTAAACCAGCTATATCGTACCATGCTCGCCTGGTATATCAATGGACATGGGCCAAGCAGCTTGAGCCAGGCTGCCTCCCACTTCCCATATCAGGGTTGAGAGGGATCGGATCACCCCTACACCTAAGCCAGTGATCATGGTGAAGTCGTAAGGGGTCATCGTCATCTCCCCTGTGGTGGAGAAATGGAAAGAGTTGGTGGTGTCCCACCACCTCTCCACTAAAGCCCCTAAGAGAGGGCGGCACACTACGACCCGCGTCAGGCTAGAGCAGAAGAGACCGAAGCCTGTCTCGTCATTAATGTCGCGAACCCTAGCTGGGAGCTCACCATACCAATCTCGAGCAGTCGTCGTACCATAGCCTCTGAAAAAGCAGGACCCGTCCTGCGACAATGCATGAGATGCAATCAGATCGAGCAATGAAAGTATGGTTGAATACAAAGCAGTGATGATAGTACAGTCAGATCAATGCAGTCTATGCAATCAGATCAAAACAGTGCAAGAAATGCAAACAGTTAAAGGTAATACTGCAGAAAAATAGTGTTCATACCTCTACAGCGATAGCCGACAAATGAGATACTGGCTCTCTCAGTAAAAGGTCATCTAGCGCATCCTCAGCGAAGTCGGTGAAGGCCTTGATGCCTCCTGCAATAGGCACTATATGAGTCTCAGGGTGGTACCTCACTGGATCGAAGGGGCGTATGCTTGGCGATAATGGCTCCGGCTAGGCCTCAAAGTCTGCCTCAAACTCTACCGGAGGAAGCGCGGGGATAGCCTTGTCATGTGGGACATCATCTGCCATCTGAAATAGATGCAAGAGAAGCAAAAATGAGAAAAAAATGAAGAAAATGGTGAAACTTTGAAAAAGTCAACCCTAGGGAAGGGGAAAAAGTCAAAGAAAGTCAAAGCCCAGAAAAGTGTACTAACCTTGAGGGAAACTGGAGGGGAATGAGCCTAGAATGGTGGAAATGAAGAAAGAAGCGTCGAAATCAAATTTTGATTGGTTCAAAGTGAAGAGAACTAAGAGAGTTTAGCGAATAAAGTTTGCGTGGGGCGTTGGAAAACACGTAAAAGGCTCGGATCTAGAGAGAAAAAGTGTCTAGAGAGAGAGGGAAGAATTTCAGACATGAGGTTGTGTGGAAATGAAGTGTGGATACCTATTCTTAAAGACCTGTGCATGAAAAGTCAATTTTGCCCCAAACTGCCATTGATGCCCGGCAGATGGTCGGCAAGGCTCAGTGGTGGCCGGCAAAGCTTGTTTATGGTCGATAGGTGGTCGGCGGCCTCCTCTTGTGGCCGGCAGGTGGCCGGCGGCCTCCCTCTAAGTCTTGATGCTGTTTTGTGTCCTCTTTTTCCAAGAACAGCAAGGAAAGTTCACTGTTGGGTTCAGATTGTCTCTACGAAAGCTCAAAACTGTGTTTTTGGCGCATAATGTTCATCACTTGTTAACATGAACGAGGTGTATCCTTTTTAAACATATTGCAATTCCTCCGAGAGGTAAATCGGAATGTGCCATAGAATGTCGCTTTTGTTCGTTTTGCCTTTGTTCTCCTTTCGTTCTCTATTGTTGCATAGAATATGCATTTCACATATTTGTCGTTAGAATATGCATTTCACATATTTGTCGTTAGAATATGCATTTCACATATTTGTCGTTAGAATATGCATTTCACATATTTGTCGTTAGAATATGCATTTCACATATTTGTCGTTAGAATATGCATTTCACATATTTGTCGTTAGAATATGCATTTCACATATTTGTCGTTAGAATATGCATTTCACATATTTGTCGTTAGAATATGCATTTCACATATTTGTTGTATAGAATATGCATGTCACATATGCATATTGCATACGTATCTCACATCATTCCAATTTCGCATAAAATATGCTTTTGTTTCTTTCATAGAATATGTTTTCACTTAACAACATGCATTGGCCGTCCGTCTTGCATAGAATATGCTTTGTGCATCTATCGCACTTGTTCACTTTGTGTATCTATCGCACTTGTTCACTTTATGAATCTATTGCACTTGTTTACTTTGTACATCAATCGCATACCCCTTTGTTTCATCTCGGGACGTGCGAAGCACGAGCCCGAGCGGTTTTATCTCAGGGCGCGTAATGCGCGGTCCTGGGCGGGTTTCATTTCTGGACATGCAAAGTACAAGCCCAAGTGATTTTATCTCAGGACGCGTGACGAGAAGCCCTGGGCGGGTTTCATCTCGAGACGTGTGAAGCACAAGCCCGAGCAGTTTTCTTTCATATTGGGACGTGCGAAATGCAAGCCTGAGCGGGTTTCATCTCGGGACATGCGAAGCGCGAGCCAGAGCAGTTTTCTTTCATCTCGGGACGCGTGAAACGCGACCCCGAGCGATTTTCTTGTTTCTCAGGACGCGTGACATGTGGCCCTGGGTAGGTTCCATCTCGGGACACGTGAAACGCGAGCCCGAGCAGTTTTTGTTCTCGATTTCTTAAGATATGTGAAACGTAACCCTGAACAGTGTTTTCTTTCCTCGTCTCTTACTTTGGCGTGGTTAGAGTGTGGTTTTATCTTTTTGCATCGAACCTGTGTTGGTTTTAGCTTGAAGCTGCTCGTTCATATGTTATTATCTCGTTATCTTGCTTATCGCATCTTGTTATTTCTTATTGCATCATTTCGCATGATCATGAATTTTCAAAATCACCAGCTTCGCGTAGCGTGTGAGTCCAGATTCTCAGTTGCATTGTGCATATCATTTGCATCTTGCCCCAGTTTTACGCTGGTTTGATTCCTTGCAAAGGGATACGTAGGCAGCCTGTGGGCGCAACCATTTATTTTCATCTTGATTGTTTGTCCAAATCTTACGGCCTTGTCAAAATGGGTCGTCTTCAGGCTTTGACATTCACTCACGTCATTTCATGACTCTGAGTTCTGTCAAAGAGAGGCAACTGTGGACACCCCATTTTTGACGGCCCTTATGATTTGGACGTCCTTGCATGCACACCCGATGATGAGTTTATATGCCCGCCGAATGCTCGAAGTCCTCAACGGAACGCCATAGCTTTGAGCCCTTCAAACCCTACACCCCTATTACCTCATTCTTCGACCAAGCCTTGCTTTTCAAGCCTACAACTTCTGGTGGCCTGCCGACCACTTTTTTGGAGCTGCTAGCCATCACTTTTGAGATGTCGACCACTGATGTGGCTTGCCGGCCACCAGTGTCTTTTACAGATATTTTGTGACAGTTGTACCAGTTGTTTGCACAGATGCATACATCTCCACCCACGTATAGGGCTGGATATCCTAGTAGAGAATTCATGTTTTCTATATATAGGGGCCCTCTCTCTCATGTTTTAAGGTTAGAAAATTTTGAGATAAAAAATTTTCCTCTCTCTCTACCCAATCTCTACACTTTTGCCTACAATTCCTTAACCCTTGCCAATACACCCTTAACCAAACCTTCTCATCTTTGAGCTGAGGTGTCTTTGAGCTTGGTTTGAGCTCTAGAGGGTGTTGTTTGCTTGGTTTTGTTGCTTGAATTGCTTCTTCTCTTCAAGAGGTATAAGGCTTTACCTATTTTCTTGCTTTCTCTATTATTTTTCTTGCTATTTTTCAAGTGTTTTTAGTCTGTAAAATCTCTGTATTTTTTGGCTGAAACTTGGGTCCTAAGGCCATTAAAGGTTGGGGGTGGTTCACCCTTCTTTATATCTTGTTTTGGAGGCCTTAGCCCTTGTGTTTCCCACCCTTTTGCTATCTTTTTCTAAGCTTTTAAACACTGATTTTCAAAGTTTTTTCAGTGGCTAAAATCATGTTTCGAAGTCCAAATTTGGAGAGGTTAGTCTCCCCTCCCTGTGTCTTGCTTACTAGCCTGGTTTATGTCATGTTTTAGCATGTTAATCTAGCTATTGTTAGCTCAATTCCAGCATGTTTTAGGACTTACTTTAGACTGCTTTAGCACTTTTTTGGGCTATTGGTTGCATTTGAGCTTTGTTTTGCATGCTTGTAGTGTAATAGTCCTCATGAGCTTGGTGTTCTAGGCCTTAGACATCACCTCATTTGAGTTGATAGCATCTATTTATGCTTTTCTCACTCATTTTCAGCACTTAATCATCTCTGCAACCTCCCTCCTTTCTTGACTTTTGTTTTTCTTTGAAAGTGGTTCAAACAACTTGTTTGTTTAAAGCATGAGATTGAGATGTCATGCTTAATGATTTAATCCCTTAGGGGGTTCATTACCAACGGCATGTTGTTTCTTTCATACCTAAAACAACTTTTGGTTTGAGCCTTCTTTTCATTTAGAGGACTTAAACTCATCATTGGACTTAATTGGTTAAACGATGGATGGTAATTTAAAATGGGGTAATTAAAATTTGAAACTAAAATAAGCAAGATAATAATTTGGTGTGTTCAATCGGACGTTAATTGAACACCTGAAACTTAGGCCATTACATATTTGGTAGTTAAGAAAATGACTCAAGTCTCCAAGGTCATCACTTCCCTTGATCATTAATGATAGGGAGGTGGTTTTGAGAGTCTCATTTTCATTGCATTTATTGAACTTGCACACTTGGTTTCATAAGCCATCATACAATGAAATTGCATCCATTGATGGTTTGTGAACCGAACTTGCTACTCCTTTAATTTGCTCATGAGAAGGAAGAGTGAGTTGTGCAAACAAACCCTTGAAATGCCCTGTATATACTCTATTTGTCCTCTGTTGCAGCAAGGAGAATTGGGCAGTAATGGCCGGTAGGTGGCCGGTAGACCACCTTTGATGGCTGGCCCGTCATCACTAGTGGCTGGCAACCTTCATCACTGGCCGGCCAGTCACTGATTCAAATTTCAGCAGCATGTTCCTTTGGCAAAGCAGAGTTATTCTGGAAATGGGCAGAAATGTAAGTGTTCTTTTCGCAACAGAGGCTCTTTGGAAGCAAAACGGTGGTCTTTTTCGAGTGAAAACCGAGCATGCGCATGAACATCCCATGCATCCCGAGGCGGAGTAGTTAGTTTAATATTCAGATTGTTTAGCTTACTTAATTCTTTTAATTGCACCCGTGTTATAATTATTTAATTAGTCAGTTAAACTAGTTATTCAATTTTGTTGTTAGTTAACTAATTAGTTGATTAGTTTGTTGTAATAATTAGTTAAGCTTAACTTAGTTAGTTAGTTTAGTTTATTCTTACTCTCCTTCATGAGAGCGCAACGTAATAACATGTATGTCTTTCAACTCCATGTTTTTCTCCCTTTTATTTACTATCTTATGATGGTTAGTTTAGGAACATCATGTTTCAATTAGCATATTCCATATTTGCATCCATTTGTCTTGCATGTACTGAGGCTCAGTTCATCGTTTTCTTTGAATACATGCTTAGACCGCATATTATTTACTTGATTCATATGCCATATTAATAGGCGAGCCTAGTAATTGCATATCGCATACGTTGCATTAGTTATATTGCATAATTAAGATCATGCATTTTTTTCTAACTCATCTTTCTTTCTTTGCTTGGAGTACTAGGTGAGCCTTTACTCACTTTAGCATATCTCATGCATGTGGTTATTGTCATGTCTAGCATGCTTGCCATGAGGCTAAGTGCTAAATTGATAAACTGCTTGAATGCCTGTGGATGAAAGCTAATTGCTTGAATTGGAATAATTTAAGCAATGTTCATATGCGATCACTTTTTCAAGTGGTACATATTCGAAATAATTTTCAAAACAAACATGAATCAAGTATTCCAATTCTTGCAATTTTAGTCTATACTTGTGTGTGTGCGCATCACATAGTAATGCTAGCCTAATAAACTAGAATAAGAACATATAAGATTCATATCATGATTAGTAAAGGCCGATCTTTGATCGGACGAGCGGAGATGCTCAAATGCGTTCATGACCTTCCCCTCTCGTACCTAAGTTCCCGACCCTAGACAATCTTGGTGATGACGGACACATGGCCTTTGGCACGAGTCTTGCGTTTCTTAAATTTTTTCAAAATAAAATATTTAGGTAGCGACTTTGTATATGACAAAGCAATATATTTTTGACAATTTGATTCAAAATTGATTTTTCAAAAGATTTGCCTGATTTGGACTCTTTGGTCATTCTTTATTTCACATTGCACTTGTGGAATTAGATTCAGAACCGCAAGAGTCCGAACTGTAGGGCTTATTTTAAATTTCCGAAAGGAAACGCGAAAAAGTCGAGCTACATAAGCTTATAATCTTTTTTAATAATCATAGATTGAGGTTTGGCTACATAATTAACTTTGTTCCCATTCTCTTGGTTCTTCCTTTATCTGAAAAAATAGAGTAGCCTTGCTAAAGACAATTCCTTACCCGAAACTGGGAACATAGTAATAAAGAACAAAAATTTGTCAAAAACAATGTTAGAGATCATCATCGGCAAGAATGGTGTCTCTCCTGCAGCAAAGCAGAGTTTGGCAACGATATTATTTGAATTTTTGAACAAGTACAATGATAATGCCACGGATAACAGTAAATTTAAAACTTAAAACGTGGTTAAAAATCTTTTATCTCTAAATGTTTCAACTTCACCATTTCACGATATCTATCACGATTGTATGAGAATCTCAAGATATAGATGTGCCTAATGATTATGTAGGCATATGGTTGGTGTTGGAGAGTGATAAGTTTCTTGTATTATTATTATTTAATTTTTTAAGTAATTTTATGAGAGTTAAGTTTGTTGAATAAGTGAGTGAGATGGGTGGAAAACTGTTGAGGTTGTTGAAGAAAATCAGGGGCGGTGGTTATTTAATTTTTTGATTTGATTTAATTTTTTCTTCCTTGAATTTGAAAACATATGTATGCCTCTAGTAGCTACGTGGTATGTACCTCCATATTGCTCTTTACATGTGTGTAGATTGTGATGTGTGCAATAAAAGCTTTCCTTTCCAATCTAAAAGAAATACTTACCACTATTTTTACACAATAACTTCATTGAAGGATTTTTTTACTTTGGGCTGAGATTTTTTTTATTCATTCAAATATTCCCAATAAATGAATAGAATGTGCCCTTCCAACGACAAGATTCATGTTGGGTATACCTCCTTATTGGAGTGTGGGACCCAATTAGTTTGTTAAAGAGTTTTAATTTGACTTGATTTAGGTATAATATATTTTTATATATTATATTTGAGGAGACCCAATTCAATTTGGATACAATTAGAGTTTTGTTAAAAAGCCCAAAATTCAACAATATAAATATATGTTGTTTAGATCTTCCGGATCAGAGTGGCGCAACAGCATCAATTCTTTTTCGGTGAGAGTATTCGGTGTATCAATCAATCTTGTTAGGGAAAAAAAAAAAAAAAAACAGAGCTTCGACAGAACAAGGAGGAGAAGAAGAAGAGAAGAGCCCAACCCAGCAACCCAACGAGCGAAGCAAAAGAAAAAAATAAATAAATAAATAAAATCGATCGAAGCTCTGTCGAAGAAGAAGAGCCCAGTCGGAAGGAGTTCGAAGAAGAAGAAGAGGAGTACCTGGTGAGAGAGAGAGAGGAGCCCAGTCGAAAGGAGTCGAAGGAGCTTCGTCGAAGGAGAACACAGATTAGGGCTTTGATTTCAATCAATTTGCGTCCTCATCTGATTTCGCGTGTATTGTATAGCATTTGAGTTGTAATCGTATGTGTAGGAGGCTATAGGAACACAATTTTCAGCCGTCAGATCTGAATTAAGCACAAACAGAGAAGCCCGACTAGGTGCGCGACTGTTGTACTGCGCCTCGCCTGGCACCTAGGCGTGCCTTTCACAACACTGCATATATCATGTTTGTTTTGTTTATGGTGCTCTGGATTGGTAGTCCGTTCGGATTGTGAAAGGCCTTGGCAAGCGGATTGTTAGTCTGGGCGAGGAGGTGGTATTAGAAGCTAGTCCGTTCGGTTTAGGGTATTACTGGACATCCGTCCGAAAGTCCGGCCGGTCAACTACAAATTTATTTTTTTTTTACTTGTTGGGCATTTTTTTTTAACATTAATTTTTAATGTTATTGTATTTTTTGTTAAGTAAAAATCATAATTTTATTTGTTTTATTATTTTATATAAAAATAATTTAACAATCTCCACATTAACAACTATCATCAAAACAAATACAATTTTACTAATCCCCTCACTATCAATCCCCTCCATTCTACCTCTGAAAACAAACAGGGCCATACACTAGACTAGATAGTAAGGAGGGAGAGTAGAGGATATACAAACTTGCTAAGATAAGAGAGAAAAATAAGAGATTTTAATCAGGTTAAGTGCATCAAGGGTGGTGAAGGATGAAGAGATTAAGGAGAGATAGAGAACTATTTTCAGAACTTGTTAAATGAGGAACATGGAGGTAGGTCAAAAGGGGAGGAAGTAGGCAGTAATAAAGGAAACCAGGACTATAGGTTCTATCGTAGGATTAGGAACTTTGAAATGGAGTTTGCACTTAAGAAGATAAAATCGAATAAGACTTTAGAACCCAATGATATACCTATTGAAGCGTGGAAATGTTTGGGTAAGAAGGGGGTTGTTTGGTTGACTAGGTTATTTAACAAGATTTTGTTGCCTAGAAAAATGCCAGAGGAGCAAACGAAGAGTAATTTAGTGCCAATATATAAGAATAAAGGAGATATCCAGTATTGCAACAACTATAGGGAAATCAAGTTAATGTGTCACACAATGAAAGTGTGGGAGAGAGTGATGGAACGTCGATTACGAGATATAACAGAGTTATCAGAAAATCAATTTGGGTTTATGCCTGGTAGGCCAACAATGGAAGTGATTTATCTTTTGAGAAGAGTAATAGAAAAATATTGAGAACAAAAAAGAGATATTCATATGATTTTTATTGAACTTGATAAAGCATATGAAAAAGTGCCTCAGGATATAATCTAGTGGATATTAGAGAAGAAAGAGGTAACAAAATGTTACATTGATGTGATTAGGGATACGTATGAAGGTGTGGTGACCACTATTAGATAACCTGCTGGAGAGGCGAGTGAATTTTCAATTATTGTAGGGTTACACCAAGGATCAACCTTAAGTCTTTATCTTTTCGCTTTAGTTATGGATGAGTTGGCGTGCAATATTCAGGATGATATGTCATGGTGTATGCTTTTTGCAGATGATATCATGTTAGTGAATGAGACTAGAGAAAAAGTTAACACTAAGTTGAAGATTTGGAGAAAAACACTTGAGTCTAAAGGATTTAGGATAAGCAGAACTAAGACAGGGTATGTGAAGTGTAATTTTAGTAACAATCACAATGAAAGCAGAGGGGAAGTGAAAATTGAGAACCAAGAACTACCTAAGAGTGAACATTTTCGTTATTTAGGATTGATTATCACAACGACTGGGGAGATTGGAGCGAATGTGATCCATAGAATTAAGACGGGGTGGCTTAAGTGGAGGAGTGTGTCTGGAGTACTGTGCGATAAACGAGTATCCATTAGACTAAAAGAGAAGTTCTATAGAACGGCTATTAGACCAACGATGTTGTATGGGACGGAATGTTAGGCAACTAAGAAACAACATGTAGATAGGATGAGTGTTGCTGAGATGAGAATACTAAGGTGGATGTGGGGCAAGACTAGAAAACACAAAGTTAGGAATGAGTATATTCGAGAATGGGTAGGAGTATTACTACTAGAAAATAACTTGAGAGAGAATAGATTGAGATGGTTTGGTTATATACAACGGAGACCAACAAAGGCAGTAATGAAAGGATGCGATATAGTGACGGTAGATAGTAGTGTTAGGGGAAAGGGTAGACCTAGATTGACGTGGACTAGTATAGTATAGTATAGTAAATAGAGATATGAATCTCCTTAATTTCGCTAACAAAATGGCCTTGGATAGAGTCGAGTAGAAAAGAATGATTCATGCAGCTGACCTTATTTGATGGGACTAAAGGCTTGGTTTGGTTTGGTTCAGTTCGGTTTGGTTTATAAGAAACTTCCACCCATATAACACCAAGATGGTGACAATTATAGTCCCATTGAAGGTAAGCCTTCATTTTGGACATAGAAATGTACACCCATCAAGACTGCGAAACTTTTAGAAAGTTAAAGTGACAAAGTAATCTAAATCATTGAAATGCTGTGGGAAAAATAATAAATACAAGTACCTTTGCTAAGTAACCCCGAAAATCATCAGGGTGGGTAGATATGAGTTGATCATAGACAGATAAAGCATCACTGATATGGCCCCAATCTGAGTACACTTTTCCAAGAAGCAATTCAACCTGGAAAAAAAAAAATCTCACAAAACAAAATTAGGTCAAAAAACATCAGACAGAAAAAAGTAAAACAATCTTATAACAAGAAGTGATTCAACCGAAAACTCTAAAAAGGGGTGTCATACAACAAGGAACAGACTAGAAAATTCTTAGAAAAAATGATGGTTAATACATGGTATATTATTGTTAAAAGTGCTCTAAATTAATCTCTTCAAAAATAAGTTATGATTGCATGCCAGAGACACATGAAGGATTGACATTGGATATAAGGAATGTAACTTCACTAAAACTAAAAGTAAAACAGAGGAAGTTGTGAGGTTACAAGGTCACACAGAAAAGTGTGCCTCTCATTTTATAGTATCAATAATCCCAATGAAAGAGAGACGAAATAGGACGTGGCATGGTGCAGGATGGATGTAAAGGAAGGGTGATTTTGAATTGTTATACAGTCAACATGAACCTATCGTATTGATAGATCTAATAAAAGAACTATTTTTCATTTGATCAACAACAAAGAGATTTAGGCATCCTCCACTAAGAAGATAAAAAAAGAAAGAACGTACACAACCCAAACAAGACTACATCAAAATCCTTCTGCATGTCACACACCGACAACCAATCTCTAGCTAACAAAAAAAGTGCAATCTCTCTAAAAAGAGGATTCACCGAAAACCAAAAGGAGGCTACATGGAAAATTTTATCCCACAAAAAATCCACATCCCAACATCTCCACAAACTATGACTAGCAAAAAATAATCACAAAAAGCAAGCAAATCTGAAGCAAACCACGGCCAAAAATGCCCCACAATCTGTTTCAACAGGTACCCAACAATGGCAAGGCTGAAAAACTGAAAAATATCTCAAATGGCATGGAAAAAACACCGAACACGAGAAGAACAAGGAACAAAAGTGCAGGGAAAAAATCCAAACAACATTTTTTAGCCCAGAAACTCCATCAATGATGCTTCGAAGCCCCAAAGGCACCTCTCACACTGATTTCAGAATGCTAGGGTTATTGCAGAACCCTTGAAATAGCTTTCATGTGCTCCCAAATTCAAATCACAAAAAATGGACCTATCTTTTAAAAAATCATAGAAAAATAGAAAAATTGTACCAAATAAATTTGGATGAACATGAAACAATTTTTCTGATGATTAGAAAGGGAAATCAAGTTCACAGGAATTTTTTGGAATTTTTCAGTATTTTATTTTATTTTTATTTTTTGTCAAATGCAAAAAGAAGAAAGAAAAAGTAAAACTTACATCCGCAGGGTAGATTAAAAAATATAATTGCAAATTTGATCGAAGCTCAGATTCCAAGTTCGAATTAATACACCGGAAAAAGGAAAACAAATGTTGTTATGTGATGATGAGAAGAGGGTCCAACTTAGGGTTCTTTCTCATCTACTAACCTTTATATTAATCATGTTGTAAGTACACAAAACACCCTTTGGATAAAATAACACAAGACTTGACAGAAAACAAGTAAAGATCAATATCTGTTGAAATCAGTATATTGTTACACCATTAGTCAAAAACTATGAAAAAACGCACAAGTGAGTAGATCTAGGTTTATAATAGAAGTAAAGAGGAGAATCAGATGGAAAATGAACAAGCTAAGGAAATAAAAGGAACCCATGGCATCAAGATTGCTTTTTTAGCAAATAGTGTGTCAATGCCTAACAGTGCTTCAAGGACGATTTATCAGGAGCATCAGCTGATTCTCCCCAATACGGAAACACTACCCAATATGTATTAGCCAATACGTACGTGATTTTTTTCGCAGTGATACAAAATAGAAAATGCAATCGGGAGACCCAAAATCTATTATGTAACAACTGATTTTTCGATGCATGGGTCCTATTGCAACCATATCAATGCAAACGAAACCAAAAACAAAAAATATATATATACATAAGTATGCACTTCACACGTTACCACTTCTGCATGTAATTAAGGGAGTATAAATTTCTCGGATGTGTATTATGGATACTCTTAGAAGGTCTACATAAGTTACACTAGGAAGAAGAAAATGGAAGCACCTCAAAACCACAAAGGAATATTCTCATCATTTTTATGCCAAAATTGCATAATTTATTAAGCAAACAAAACTCAAGGTGGTGACAAATATAACCTTCATTCAAATTGAAATATTATTGTAAAACATAAATCCAAGATGAATACAAAAAATAGTATAGATGATAAATATCTTATCAATAGGATAAATGATATTGTTTAATGATCTGAGACCAGTAACTGAGATGAATGAAGAATGTGTGGTTGCTTATCTTCCATGGTGTTTGGTGGGGCTTTTTTGAGCCAGCTTATGACTTCTGGCTTTTAAAAAGTTATTTTGGACTATTTGATTAAACTTATTTTAAACAGCTTCTGATTCTAACAACTTATTTTAAGTCAAAAAAGCTGATTCTGAGAAGCTGCTCATCCCTTGCTTCTGATTATCAGCTTCTGCTGTGGACATGTTAATTCACGGTTATACTCTTAGATTTTTTTATTTTTTATTTTTTTAAAAAAAGAAAAAGACCCAAATGGACTATAAAATATTATTATTATTTTTTATGAAAAATGTAGACAAATAGTGAATAATAAAAAATAAAAATTAATTGAAAAAGCTACTTCACAGCTTATTTAACAAACACTACTCAACAACTTAAATCTATAATTCAACAGCTATACCAAACAGATTAACAACTTCTGATTAAAGTCATAATCTATAATCTGTTAAGCTATAATCTATAATCTATTTTAACAGCTACACCAAACAGCACCATAGCATTAACCCCAAATCAAACAAAAAAATAAAAAAAAAAAAAACAAAAAATTGGAAGAGAATACAAATCAATCAACTTTTCCAGGCAGTACAGATAAAAGCTACATGCATATGATATGAGAATCAAATAACTTTTGGGCATGGTACCAATCAAAAGACACCAGATTTGCAAACCATTGCAGTCACAACTCACTTGGATTGGATCCACCGCCTGTGAGTCTGTTTCCAATGAACTTCTATCAGCATTCATGCTAGCATCATTTGATTTTTCTATATTCAAACGTTCGCGAGAGGCCAGAAGGACCTGAAGAGCCTGGATAAACAATAACCAGAAATAAGCAATGTATTTGTGTACTTTATAAAAGCTGCTGTAAGATTCAAATTATGAGAATCAAATGTTTAAACACACAAAAGAGTGATGTCAAAAACTGTTGAAAACAGTTGCGAAGTGAAAGCATATGAGAAATTAATATTTTTTCAATTATTATTTGGTTAGTGAACTAAGGATTGCAGTTCTGGAACACAGCAAATATAAAGAATACCTTCACCGTAATTACAAAGTAACGGACTGACACTGAGAAAGGGTCAAAATATCATTTCAGATGTTGTTTCACTTAGCTTGGAAATAGAAACTTTTTCGAAATATTTTAGACACGTATCAGAAACACATGCGAAATGAGACAAAACATTGAAAATGTTTGGAAACAAAAACAAAAACCTATATAAATGTTAATAGTTTCTCAATTATTAAATAATTGAACATGCTAGAAGCTCATACACAAAAGATTTGAAGGCTTAGTTCAGAAGAAGTTTCAATGATACGAAAAACATTAAAAGAAAATGCAAAAAACTAGTAATAGAAATGTAAAAAGAAAAAATAGAAGTACTTTGCAGTGACAAAGAAATAAAACAAGTGACTTAATCATACTTGATTTATCTTCTCCCCAACTTCTCGCTTCTTTCTAGTCTCTTAGGTTCTCTAATAAATCTAATTTTGTTTCTTCTGACAAAAATAGACCCAAAAAAAAGGTGGATTGTTAAGTATTCTTAATAGGTCTCAAAACAATACATTGTTTCAATCTATGAAGCACAGGTTCTCTTAAAATGTTGTCGTACTCGTACTGGGCACTGGTACGCATACTGATAGGGCTACATGAGTACTAGGTAGTCGAAATATGTACCGGGTACTTCTTATCCATTCTTTGGCAGTTGGAGACTCCGTGGTACTTCATGGGTACAGGATGGATACATCCACACCAAACTATGGGACATTGTTGGAGATATCTTTAATTTATTAGAGAGTTTTGATTTACTTGAAATTGCAAACCCTTTACTTGATGTGCAAGAGATGAAAGATATATTATTCAATAATAAAATTGATGAAAGTAAAATTGAAATTTCAAGTTTCCAAATTTTCCTCAGCTTGCTTTTGGAATGAAACTTTGTTTTGTTATTTCTCCTATTTAACGGCATTAAAATAGCTTATGGACTTTGCTTTGGTATTGTTATTGTTGAAATATAATTTCTCTTCTGGTTTTGTAGTTTCTCCTTTTAGTTTTAGTAGTGAATTTTGATTTGTTGGTTGAATCTCAAACTATAAATTATTGACATACCCTAACCGTACCCATATTATATTTTTTTTAGGTTTTGTTGTATCGACGTACCCGTAACGTATCCATACCATTATCTATACCTGCACCCGTGCTTCATAGGTTTCAATATGTTTCGTAGTGTCTCTATGTTTCAGTATATTTCAGTGAAATCATTGGAATTCCAACATTCCACTGATGTTTCATTTCAATTTCCTAAGAAACATAAATGTTTCAGCCATTTTGATGGAAAAGAATAAAATTTTGTTCCTTGATACCGAGTCAATGGAATCAGAAAACAAAGGAAATCCCCCAGTCCCCAACATCATTCCCATCTATAATAGCAACTTAAATCAATGATCAACTCAAATCATCAAGGAGACCTAACTGATCAGTTCAGTTCTAAGAAACTCTGCATCCAGAATGAAGCAAAGGAACAAATCAAAGTTGCTACGAATCCTCAAGAGACCGCAGGAATTTAGTGAAAATCCATTTAAATTATTCAAAACCAACACAACCATAATTGCAGGGAAAAGATAAATTTTAGTGCACTCAAATCTCCCAAGTCTAAGAAAAAATGAACAAACACCATGTGAGAAGAATATTAGTGTATCTTGTGTAAATATTCTAAGAGATTTTGTAAATATTCCGTAGAGTTAGCATTATTCGTATTTCATTTTTAGTCTTAAGGTTAGGATTACTATATAATAGATGTATTCTTTTGTATTTTCTACACGTTCGAATATACAAGTTATTTAGAAATCTGACATGGTATCAGAGCCACTCCCGGAACCCTAGAAATTGTTTGCTCTCTCTGAGTCGTGGGTTATCTTCTCCCCAGATTGCAATTGTGTCTCGAAGCTGGTTCTCAAAATGGGCCGTCGGTCATCTTCTCCCTCGATCGCGATTGCTTCTTGAGACTGGTTCTCAAGTTATGCTAGTTGTCTATCTGGTTCGTCGCCTTTGGGTGGTCAACGGAATCGCATTTGTTGCGAAATCGCGACACCACGACATCTGTTGCCGCTGGAATCGCGACATAGCATCTATTGTTGTCACATCTCTCTCTCTCTCACAAATTATTTGGTAAAGAAGTCACTAGGTCCTGTCTAGTTGTTGTCGTGACCATCAGTTTCTATTTATTACATTTTAACCACAGTTTGTTTCTCTAGTTTCCATTACTGTGGGTTTTTACATTGTACTTGTTTACTAGTACACTCACAATTTCGGATGACAAAATTTAGGCCATCAATTGTAGACTCACTGGTGCCAACTATACTTATTGGTTTAGTGTTATGTGAAATTTTCTGCTTTGTCGAAAAAAATGGGGATATGTTTCTAGTTCTATTCCTCGTCTATCCAATTCGAAAAAAAGGAACCATGTTTCTGACTTAGTTTCACAACTCTATGGAAGACCGTATTGGGATGATATTTTCCACGTACACTACTATCAAGGAGGTGTGGAACCCTTTACACGGTTTATCAACAGTTCAACTTTGCCAAGCAGTATGAGTTGGAATCAGCTATTCAGAGTCCTCAGCGAGACAGGTCTATTCAGCTATTCAGAGCTCTCTTAAGTGGAGACTTGGCCCATTGGAAACAACCCAAGATTTAACTCTGATACCAAGTTAGAATTATTGGAGGCATCCAATCCAAAATCAATTGGCAGTGGGTGGAGTAACCTCTAGAGTATATGAACCAAACTTGGGTGGATTAAAGAAGTAATGTGGGACAAGGCTCTAACATAGAGAGAGGGCCACAGAGAACTTAGGTTAAGATAAGAAATACCATTATTGTTTTAGACTTAATCTAATCTTGCATGGACTGAGGTACAAGCGTCGAGTGCGGGTATTGTATCTAGGGGTCAGACTCGGCAAACCTCTAAATGAGGGATACGCAGGTACGTCTAAAAAGTACCCAAAAATTAGACACCGATACATGGATACGGCTAAACATGGATCTATCAAAAAAATATTATATGTTTCTCTAATAAAATTACTACAATTTATGGCTCAGAAAACATATTTTTATGGTGATGCTATTCTACACATTTTGTAGTTAAAAAATTGTAGAAAATGCAATGTATAAAAAGAAATAGAGAAATGTATTATTGATTGATGTATTGTGTTGTTATATATTACAAATGGTGAGTGGCTCATTATATAGGAAAGGGTGAGTGTAGTAGGTGAGGAGTAGGTGAGGAGTAGGTGGTGGTAGGTGATGGTAAATTGGTGGTAGGTGATGGTAAATTCTAACAGCCCCCCGCAAACTCAAGGAGGATAGAAACTAACCAACTTGAGTTTGAAGAGAGGAACAAAACAAGAAAATACATAAAAATAAAAAAGGATAGGAGACACTGTATGGTCGTGTCAGACCAGTGGTGAAGACACTGTATGGGGGTGTCATAACGTTGTAGAGGACACTGTATGGCGGTGTCAGACCGATGTAGAAGACAGTAGAAAGGGAAATCAAGTTCACAGGAATTTTTTGGAATTTTTCAGTATTTTTTTTTTGCAAACGCAAAAAGAAGAAAGAAAATGCAAAGCTTACATCAGCAGAGTAGATTAAAAAATATAAATGCAAATTTGATTGAAGCTCAGATTCCAAGTTCGAATAAATACACCAGAAAAAGAAAGAAAATACAGAAAAAGATAAACAAATGTTGTTATGCGACAATGAGAAGAGAGTCCAACTTAGGGTTCTCTCTCATCTACTAACCTTTATATTAATCAAGTCGTAAGTACACAAAATACCCTTTGGATAAAACAACATAAGACTTGGCAGAAAACAAGTAAAGATCAATATCTGTTGAAATCAGTATATTGTTACACCATTAGTCAAAAACTATGAAAAAACGCACAAGTGAGTAGATCTAGGTTTATAATAGAAGTAGAGAGGAGAATCAGATGGAAAATGAACAAGCTAAGGAAATAAAAGGAACCCATAGCATCAAGATTGCTTTTTTAGCAAACAGTGTGTGTCAATGCCTAACAGTGCTTCAAGGACAATTTATCAGGAGTATCAGCTGATTCTCCCCGATATGGAAACACTACCCAATATGTATTAGCCAATACGTACGTGATTTTTTTCGCAGTGATACAAAATAGAAAATGCAATCAGGAGACCCAAAATCTATTATGTAACAACTGATTTTTCGATGCATGGGTCCTATCGCAACCACATCAATGCAAATGAAACCAAAAACAAAAAATATATATACATAAGTATGCACTTCACACGTAACCACTTCTGTATGTAATTAAGGGAGTATATATTTCTCAGAGGTGCATTATGGATACTCTTAGAAGGTCTACATAAGTTACACTAGGAAGAAGAAAATGGAAGCACCTCAAAACCACAAAGGAATATTCTCATCATTTTTATGCCAAAATTGCATAATTTATTAAGCAAAACAAAACTCGAGGTGGTTACAAATATAACCTTCATTCAAATTGACATATTATTGCAAAACATAAATCCAAGATGAATACAAAAATTAGTACAGATGATAAATATCTTATCAATAGGATAAATGATATTGTTTAGTGATCTGAGACCAGTAACTGAGATGAATGAAGAATGTGTGGTTGCTTATCTTCCATATAGCATTAACCCCAAATCAAACAAAAAATTGGAAGAGAATACAAATCAATCAACTTTTCCAGGAAGTACAGCTACAAGCTACATGCACATGATATGAGAATCAAATAACTTTTGGGCATGGTACCAATCAAAGATGCTAGATTTGCAAATCATTGCAGTCACAACTCACTTGGATTGGATCCACCGCCTGTGTGTCCGTTTCCAATGAACTTCTATCAGCATTCATGCTACCATCATTTGATTTTTCTATATTCAAATGTTCGCGAGAGGCCAGAAGGACCTGAAGAGCCTGAATAAACGATAACCAGAAGTAAGCAATGTATTTGTGTACTGTTTTGCAAGCTGCTGTAAGATTCAAATTATGAGAATCAAATGTTTAAACACACAAAAGAGTGATGTAAAATCTGCTTCAAATACTTGAAAATAGTAGCAAAGTGAAAGCATATGAGAAATTAATATTTTTTCAATTATTATTTGGTTAGTGAACTAAGGATTGCAGTTCTGGAACACAGCAAATATAAAGAATACCTTCACCATAATTACAAAGTAATGGACTGACACTGAGAAAGGGTCAAAATATCATTTCAGATGTTGTTTCACTTCGCTTGGAAATAGAAACGTTTTCGAAATATTTTAGACATGTATCAGAAACATATGCGAAATGAGACAAAACATTGAAAATGTTTGAAAACAAAAACTAAAACCTATATAAATGTTAATAGTTTCTCAATTATTAAATAATTGAACATGCTAGAAGCTCATACACAAGATTTAAAGGCTTAGTTCGGAAGAAGTTTCTATGATACGAAAAACATTAAAAGAAAATGCAAAAAACTAGTAATAGTAATGTAAAAAGAAAAAATAGAAAGTACTTTACAGTGACAAAGAAATAAAACAAGTGACTTAATCATACTTGATTTATCTTCTCCTCAACTTCCCTCTTCTTTCTAGTCTCTTAGGTTCTCTAATAAATCTAATTTTTTTTCTTTTGACAAAAATAGACCTAAAAAAAAGGTGGATTGTTAAGTATTCTTAATAGGTCTCAAAACAATACATTGTTTCAATCTATGAAGCACAGGTTCTCTTAAAATGTTGTCGTACTCATACTGGGCACTGGTACGCATACCGATAGGGCTACATGCGTACTAGGTAGTCGAAATATGTATCGGGTACTTCTTATACATTCTTTGGCAGTTGGATACTCCGTGGTACTTCGTGGGTACGGAATGGATACATCTACACCAAACTATGGGACATTGTTGGAGATATTTTTAATTTATTAGAGAGTTTTGATTTACTTGAAATTGCAAATCTTTTACTTGATGTGCAAGAGATGAAAGATATATTATTCAATGATAAAATTGACGAAAGTAAAAATTGAAGTTTCAAGTTTCCAAATTTTCCTTAGCTTGCTTTCGGAATGAAAGTTTGACTTAGAAAATATGAGGAAGAAGAACTCCGAAAATATGAGGAAGAAGGAATATATTTCTGTTATATTCAAAACTTCTTATCTTACAAGACCAAATGACACTCCTTATATAGGAGATATTACAAACATCATTATAACCCATTATATGCCACTTACATATTATATATTACCACTATCATATTATATACATGCCACTATCTACCACCAACACCACAATCATATTCTATACATGCCACTATCCTTCACCAACACCACTATCATATTATATACATTAACACAAATTTCCAGCACTCCCCCTCAAGCTGGTTTGAAGATATATACATTCTCTTTGAGGGCTGCTAACTCTGCTTCATCATTACCAGTTAAAATGATGTCATCAACATAAACAATCAAAATTGCAATTTTACTGTTTTTTGAATGTTTATAAAATATTGTGTGATCTGCTTGACTCTGCGAGAAGCCACAACTGATAACTGCCTTCCCAAAGCGTTCAAACCACGCTCTTGGTGATTGTTTGAGTCCGTATAATGACTTGTTCAATCTGCATACTCTATCGCTTCCAAGTCTCTGCTCAAATCCCGACGGTAGGCTCATGAACACCTCCTCTTCAAGATCACCATTAAGAAATGCATTTTTAATGTCAAGTTGATGTAGAGGCCAATCTGAATTTACTGCAAGAGATAACAGTACTCTGATGGAATTTATTTTAGCAACAGGAGCAAACGTCTCCTGATAGTCGATCCCATAAGTTTGAGGGAAGCCTTTAGCCACCAGTCTCGCCTTGTATCTCTCAACACTTCCATCTGCGTTACATTTTATCGTAAACACCCATTTACACCCAACTGTTTTCTTGTCTTTGGGTAGATCAACTATCTCCCAAGTACCACTTCTCCTTAAAGCATTCATCTCCTCCATAACTGCTAATTTCCAATTCGGATCATCCAATGCTTCCTGTATATTCCTTGGAACAAACAAGTGTGAAATCCTAGATGTGAAAGCTCTATGGTTTTTAGACAATCTTTGTGGCTCATTATATAGGAGAGGGTGAGTGTAGTAGGTGAGGAGTAGGTGAGGAGTAGGTGGTGGTAGGTGATGGTAAATTGGTGGTAGGTGATGGTAAATTCTAACAAAAATATTGAATAAAAAATATATATAACATTACTAAAAAATGAATAATTTATTTTCCATGGCTCCACCCAACAGTAACCTAGTCCCATCTGAGCACATCTCAGAAGGCAACACATGGGTGCCAGCTGCAACACACTTTTGTACATCTCTTTTTCAGTCAAAGCAATAAACATCTATGTTTTAATATCAAGGCCTTGAGGGGTAGGAACAGCAGAGGAAGACATCAGAGGAAGATGAAAAGAGACTTGAGAGGTAGGAACAAACACCAGAGGAAGATGAAAACAGACGAAGAAAAAAAAAAAATTTGGAATACACTGGCGAGTCAGCGACTCCAACTCTGCTTCAGCCTTTCACATTTCTTCAATTCTGCTTCAGCATTCCAGGTGTTTTCTCCTTTCTGTCCTTGTCATGGTTGCAAGTCGGGAATTTTTTGTTTTTGCTGGTTTGTTTTCTTCTCATCCCTGACCCTCCTATTCAAACCACGAAGAAGACATATATTTCATAAAAAAATATTACCCCAAAAAAAAAAAAATAGAAAAGAAAATCAACTGTATCAGTTTGAATTTAGCTGTATTCCGCACCCATACCCATGTTGTATCATGTTTACATGGGTACCTCTCAAAATACAAAGAGTCCATGTAACGTAGGACTTAATTGAGGACATGGCTTCTAATAGAACCAAGTACTTGAAATTGATCCATATAGCTGACCGATATAATTGAAACAAAGGCTTCATGTGTTGAGTCATAAAATGAGCATTTCCACAGATTGCATGTAAACATCATATATAATTGATGTATTCTCAATATGTTTTTTCCACACAAAAAAGAAATTTGTTGTCATAACAGAAGCCTATTGATTTGTATTTACGTCCCACATCCTTGTCCATATCCATGTAACATAGTGTTACCCGCAGTCATAAAATATAGCAGTTGCAATTTAAGCATATTCATTCTCCTAGAAAGGGACATCAACACTGTATTACAAAAGGATTTAAATTTCACAATGAGGCAATGCATTTATAATCATTACGTATTTAATCACATAAATGCATAACCAACCTCATCTGGTTTCTTAGCAGCAAGTAATGCATTTGTAAGGCCACGTAGAACTTCAAAATTAATGGTTTTAGACACCTGTCAGGTAATTAAAACAGTCATGGACAGCTTTTGTGAACCTTTTTTCTATTAGTGCTAAAGAAACATGGACAAAAAGGAAAACGAAAACAAAAAGTTGCTAACACAGAAATATATTATCACAATGTTGTATGTTTACACATCTATTTATCAAAATGAGATCTGATTTAGCTGCATCAGGAATAAAGTTCCTCAAAAAAAGAACTGATAGGCTTGTATGTGTGGTAGTGGCATGACAAAACATGTGTCCTCAAGCATGATTGTGTCATAACTTTTCAAAGGAAGTAAAACCTTTGTTACTGAAAGATGAACTACATTAATGTTCCCTAATAAATTATCAACACCCACCCAAAGGAAAGGAAAAAGAAAAAAGGGAAAATAAAAGATGTCCATTTGCAATTTGCAAAGCAAATAAAAGTTAGACCTGTTTTTCAAGTCTTCATTTGCTAAACCTGTGTCAAACATGGGAACGACTTTTAAGACAAAAATAAGATGTGGAAGTTTTCCCCGTATCTAGGGCATACCAACCATTGCAGACCTCCTATATGCAGCAGCACTCCCATCATAATCTCTGAGTTCATATTTAACTTCTCCAAGCAAACGAAAAGCATCAGGGTCATTTGCTTTCCTCTGTAGAACAAGATTGATTCAGAGAATTGAGTAACCATCTTAAGAAATTTTCAAATGTTTGACCTTTTCTATTGTATATTATACATCAAGTGAGTCAATACAAACCTTGGTCAAATCCTCCAGCAAAGAGCCAGCCCGAGTATACTCTCCTAGTTCTGCTAATGTTACTGCTGTTGCCTGAAAGTCCACTTAAATAAATTTAAACAGATTTGCACAAGACTATATTCACCAACTCTTACAAAAAATGGTTGGCAACAAATAAAAAAATAATATCAGCAGGGAAAAGTTAGAGAAGTTAGTGAAGGAATGAATACTGTTTTACATCAAGGCTCGGTTTTTTTTTTTTTTGTTGTAAAATATTTTTTTGGAAAATATTTTCCTCATTTTCCCTTATTTGTTTGCATAATAAGTTGGGGAAAAAATTCAGTGACATATACGTATCGAGTGGCTGGAATTAAACGTATGGATCAGGAAATTATTTTCCGACTTTCAAATCATAAACTTTGGTTGTAGCAAAAACAGTGAGGGATGAGTAATTGTCCTGTCTTCCAAGAATACCACACTAGCTGTGTGCCCGCCCAATAGCAGGGGTTGCATGGTCCAATAAACAAGGAACATGATGGATAAATCACGTAACCTCATTGGATGGACACACAACCATGTGCTGTTCTGGACCCACATGATAATTTCTGGTGGGGGAGAGTGTCACGTCCCGGTTTCTAAGCCGGTGGATTATTACTGAATATGACAATTGGGGTTGTTCAACCCAATTAAGTATAGTTTAAGAAGAATGTCACCTTTATGAATCAAACAACTCTGAAAATATTTTATTAATGACAAAATCGAATTTGAGATAGATTTAAATAAAAACGTTATTTTTCTCCAACTTCAAAAATAAAATAAATTCAAACCTCATAACAATTACTAAGAATAAAATGCTAATACAATAAAGGTAATTAAAGTTCGGTCACGAAGTTACTACTATCATGGTTAGTGTCACAAGGTTAATTTTTACACTCAAAATTTCACCTGCGATGGCTCTAAGTTTCAGCACACTTAATCTTAGCCAACTAAACCAACACACAATATGAGATTTAAGACAAGTAAGATAGAAAGAAAAACACAGCCATGTTTACATGTAAACACCCAACCTTTTTATTGCACCAACAATAATACAAAGGGTAGTCAATGGCACTCTACTACATGATGATTTTTCAAGTAATCATGGCATGCCCATAAATAGGCTACAGTCAGATTTTCAAAATTCAGACAGGCAACATAACACAAGGGGAACATGCCACATGGCATGGCAGTTGACACCCCCAATTGCCAAAGGGTTAAGATAGATCTGGAACAATTAAAACTGATGCATAAGAGTTGAGAGAGACAGAGAAATTTGCTGGAATAGGAGGCACAAAACCTAATTAGGTTTCTTCCCTCTCTAAACACATGTATTTATAATAATAAGGGAATGAGTACAATGACACTATTACCCTCAAGTACATGTATTTATAATAATAAGGGAATGAGTACAATGACACTCCCTCTCAAGTTGGTGCATAGATATCTCTCATGCCCAACTTGCATACAATAGGATGAAACAATTTCCTCCCTAACCTTTTGGTAAACAAATCACCTAACTAATTTTTAGATGTGACAAAAGACAAACAAATGATGCCAGTATTCACTGTCTCCTTGATAAAATGTCTATCAACCTTGATGTGTTTGGTCCTATCATGCTGCACCGAATTATGAGCAATGTTAATAGCGGCCTTATTATCACAATACAGTCACATGGGACCACCACTCAACAATCCTAGGTCAGCCAGTAAAACTTTAAGCTGCATCAACTTTAATAGCACCACTTTAGGCGCCATGGCTTGATACTCTGCTTCTGCACTCGATCTAGCAACAATTGACTGCTTCTTACTCCGAGAAGTCACCAAATTTCCTCCTACAAATGTACAATAGCCTGCGGTAAACCTCCTATCATCAATAGCACCAACCCAATCTACGTTGGTGAAGGCCTCTAACCTTAAAGGACCATGATTGGAAAATAAGATGCCTTTTCCAGGCACTGATTTGAGATACCTTAAAATTCAATGAACTACATCCAAATGCCCCGTTCAAGGATCAGGCATGTATTGGCTAACAACGCCATCGGCATATGCAATATCTGGCCTGGTATGAGAAAGGTATATCAGTCTTCCCACAAGCCTTTGATATCTCTCCTTGTCTATAGGATCTCTGTCACTACTGAGCCTATGATTAGCCTCTATAGGAGAATCAGCCGGTCTACATCTCAACATGCCTTCCTCAAGTAAATCCAAGATATACTTCCTTTGAGAAATAAAAATGCCCCTTTCTGATCTAGAAATCTCAATTCCAAGAAAATATCATAAAGGACCAAGATCTTTGATTTCAAATTCCCTAAAAAGTTGAGCTTTGACTTTGGACACTTCCTCTTCATCATTCCCTGTCACCACAATGTCATCCACATAAACAATAAGTATAGTGAGCTAGTCTCCACTCCGTTTGATGAACAAAGTATGATCTGCAAGGCTTAACTTATACCCAAATCTGAGCATCACCTTAAAGAACCTGTCGAAACAAACCCTAAGAGATTGTTTTAACCCATACAAGGCCTTTTTTAACCGAAAAACGTTCCCCTCAGTGATTGGAGAAAGAAAACCTAGAGGGACATCCATATACACTTCTTTTTCTAGATCCCCATAAAGAAATGCATTCTTCACATCCAATTGCTATAATAGCCATCCAAAATTTGTTGCACAAGAAAGGACACGAATGGATTTCATCTTGGCCACTGGAGCAAAGGTCTCCTGATAATCAATACTATAGGTTTGAGTGAACCCTTTAGCAACTAGCCTCACCTTATATCTCTCAATGATCCCATCATCTTTTTGCTTGACTGTGAACACCCATTTGCACCCCATAGGCCTTTTCTCGGTTGGTAGAGGAACTAACTCCCAAGGATCATTCTCATTCGATGCTCTCATCTCCTCTGCCATAGCTTATTTCCACTTAGGATCACTACGAGCTTCCTGCCGACCCTGCAGAATAGATAACAAAGACAACACAAAGGCACGATACAACGGAGAAAATGAATCATATGACACAAAATGAGATATAAGATGTTGAGTACAAGTTCTAACTCATTTCCTAATAGTAATAGAAAGATCTGATTCATCAACTTTATGAACATCACTAGTAGCGACAGAAGAATTAGTAACCAATGACTCATTACCTGAATTTGGAGATAGAGATGATTGGCATGGCACCTCTATCGCCGAGAGTAGGTCTTGAGATCCGATCTATCCAACCGACTAGACTTCCTGAACAATTATCTCCCCCTCACAACTAGTGGAAGTGGAAGGAAAAATCAGAGTCCGAGAAACCAATCTCTTCTTGAGTAGAGACTTTCCCTTCAAGAAATGATCCCTGGAAGAATGACTCAGACTCATGGACAGTAATCCATGGAAACATAAACCTTGCGAGAGTGAGAGTCATAACACCAATTGCCTTTTTTGAGTAGAGGAATAACTGAGAAAAATACACCTCAGGGCCTTGGGATCAAGTTTGCTGCAAGTGGGACGAGAGGAATGGACGAAGTAAACACAACCGAACACCCTATGTGGAAGAGAAGCAGGGGGAACAAAGGTGCAAAGAAGAAGGTCAAGAGGGTGTTGAAATTGGAGGACACTCGAAGGCATGCGGTTAATAAGATATGTAGCAGTAAGGACCACATCACCCTAGTATGGTTTAGGAACATGCATCGTGAGCATGAAAGCACTAGCAACCTCAAGTAGATGACAGTTCTCGAGTTCGGCAACACCATTCTGTTCAAGAGTACTAACACAACTAGTTTCATAAAGAATACGACGGGCTTCAAGATATGCCCGAAACGCACCATCAATATATTCAGTGCCATTGTCACTCCGGAGGACTCTAATAGGGATAGCAAATTGAGTAAGAACCATCTTATGACATGTCTAAAAACAAGAAAAAAAACCTCATTTTTTTTTCGGAGTAAGTAAACCCAAGTCACACGAGAATAGCAATCAATGAAAGTGACTAACCACCGATAACTCGATACAGACATAACACGAGAGGGACCCGATATATGAGAATGAATAACTATAAACGGAAAAAGACTTATTTTATTAATTAGAGGATAACAAGAACGTTTATGCTTAGCAAACTCACAAGCATCACAATGAAAATTTTTCCTATGACAATTCCTTACTAAAGTAGGAAATTTTTTGTCTAAAACAGAAATAGAGGGATGTCCTAAACGCCTATGCCACTGATGTAACAGAGGAAGAGTGGAAGAGCCAGTTGCTAGGTGAGAAGATCCAAGAGAGGGAAGTGCAGTATCTAGAAAGTACAAGTCCCCATGTGCTTTACCACTGCTAATCGTTCTCCCCATACCTAGTTCCCGAAAAACACAATGTGAAGAATAAAAGGTTATGGAACAACTAAGCGAATTGGTAAAACGGCTAATCGAGAGTAAATTGGTAGAGAACTGGGGAACATGAAGAACAAAAGAAATAGACATAGAGAAGGAGCAATCAACATATCATGTCCCAAACACAAAAGATAAAGACCCATCAACAAGAAAGGATATGCCTACGCCCGCTTTCTTCCTGTAGAACATAAGCATATGCCTCACACAGTGGGAAAAGGATCTCGGCCAAGAATCTAAATACGAATTTGATCATACTCAATGTTAAGACCAGCAAGAAAATCATAGACCCTCTCCTTTGACACCATCTTCTGAAAGGGAGTAGCATCTTGAGAACAAATAGCTTGGAAGTTCTGATAATAGTCAAGCTCTTGCCACAAAATACTCAACTCGACATAGTACTCAGCAAGAGACATATCCTTCTAATCAAAACCCCATATATTCTTTCACAACTCATAGGCCTAGGCATCATTACCACAATGGGAATACATCTGAGCAACAGCAGTCCATATCTCATGAGTAACATCCATCAAAACAAAGGAGCAGCTAGTATTGGGATGGATAGAATTAATGAGCCAAGTTATGACAAGAGCATTCTCCTTATGCCACTTATCTTAGGCTGGTCCATCCTCCTTGGGAGCCTTAGTAACTCCTTTGATGTAACCAGAGTAGTAATGGCAAATTGAAAGGAGTGCGACCAAACCCGGTAATTGGTGCTGTCCAACTTGATTGAAGTAAGCTGAAGAGAGGAAGTATCACCAAGAGAAACAAAGGGAACTGACTCTTTCACTTGCTACTAACAGGGGTCTTACCACCATCAGCCGTGGACTAAAATAGGACTAGCACACCCAAAAACCAAGACAACCGCAACGAGTCAAAGAAATCCGGCAAGAGTAAATATTTCCCAATAACCACAGCCGAACAATATCAAAATACGGCCGGCATAGGAGCAAAACAAGACAATCTGGAAGAAGAATGCAAAAATGCCTGACCTGTCGGCACCTAACAGCACTATGAAGCAAAGCAACACTCAAAAAACATCTAGAATCATCAACCGAAGCCAAAGGGGACCAAGAAGCATCCAGTCGGTAGCCTTAGAGAGGAACCCAAGTGATGAATCCAACCAATAACTGAAAAAACGTTGGAATCGAAAAAACAGACCTATTTTTTCAAAAAATAAAGAAAAATCGAAAAAATAGGCAACTAAAAACCAAACTTTTTTGAAAATTTTTCCAGGAACTCTCCAATTCTAGTTGAGGATGGTAGGAATTTTTATTTTTTTTTTTTTACATTATTGATCAAGAACAAGAAAAAAACAAGAACAAGTAGAAGGAAAAAAGAAAATAATAATAAATAGAAGAACAAAATAAGTGCTTCGCTCTGATACAAAGTTAAAACTGATGCACAAGAGTTGAGTGAGAGAAAGAGAGATTTGCTGGAATAGGAGGCATAAAACCTAATTAGGTTTCTTGCCTCTGAACACATGTATTTATAATAACAAGGGAATAAGTACAATGACACTATTACCCTCAAGTACAAAACTTAACAAGAACAAGCTAGTAGTTTTAACTACCACCAATTGCCTCTACAATTCATCCTTGTTTGTCCCTTGCTAGTTGCCTTGGTCTTGAATAACCGCCCATAATCGCCCCTATAATTATGTCTGCCCTGTCTATGCCTAAGACAATTCGAGCTGCCCATGTCACCAGCCAAACAGAGTCCCGAGTGTCATCTGTAGGTCTTGGTCAAGCCCATGTCCAGCCATCTGATTGTCTTAAACCCCCAAGTGTACTGCAGCCCAACATTCAGGTCACATTGGTGCCTTGCATCTATCATGTTGCTCACACTTGGCCAAAGGTTGAGTGCCCGCCGCCGAACGACAATTCTTTGCCTAGCTTGTCACATTGGTATGCCTCCCTCATGCCTTGGTCATGGTCTGACATAGATGCAAGGTGCCACCAAATGTCAGCCAACTAGCCCTCAAAACTCAAGGTGCTTACAAACCAACCCCACCAGAAGAAGCCAATGTTCTCATTGGTAGGGTCTTCAAGTACAAAGGCACTTGTTTTTCAAATTGCCATAGCTTGACATCTTTCTCCTAACTAGTATCAGATTCAGGTAGACCTTTCCATTTTACCAAGTAATAGGTTCTCCTGTTCTTTTTGCTCATGTCCTCCGTCCTGTGATCAAGAATTCTTTCAACCTCCTTGTCAAACTATTTTCAGACCACTAGTGGGGATCTCTTTGTTTGCTTCCTCTCAGCATTCACCATATCTTCATGATAAGGCTTTAAGAAACTCACATGAAATGCTGGGTGAATTTTCAACCCATCCGGTAGTATCGGTCTATAAGCGACTGGTCCAACCCTCTTCATAAGTTCAAAGGGACCATCACCAAACGAGAACAAGACAAATGGTGTAGAGAGTAATGTCATCAACAACAAGATTTGAGTCGAACTTCTAAGAGGGCTTTAAGTACTAAGAACTCCACCAAAGTCTTCAAAAATAGCCAAGGAAACTAGAAGGGTTGACAGGTAATGATGTTCCATGGAGAAAATAAATCAAAAATCAAAATCAAAAGAGAGGGGGAAGAACTCTCGGCTGCAAGAGGGAGGGGGAGGTGTGTTTGTGTTGTGTATCTACCTCTCTAACAACATAGAAAAGAAGAAAAGTTGCTAAGACAAGCATATCTCAATCAAGCTATATATCAGTACATTTGACCACACAAAACAAATGGGGTGTTGGCAGCCACAAAGGAATTTTGTGGGAAAATTTCCCTCTCAAAATTGAAATGCAATCGACTAGTTAAAAAGTTTGAATTAAAATCAAGTGGGTCCTATTTATAGTACTAGGTCAATAATAAAATATCTGTCCTATAGTCAACCAAAAATAGGCCAAAGACCCAAAAAGAAAAGACCAAAAAACGCAACTGAAAAAATATGGGCGCTACTGTCAAATGTTGACACCTCCAAGTGGAGTGTCAACACCTTGCTGCAGAAGTGAAACAAGAAAGAAGAAACAGATGGGGTGTCGACACCAACTGGCCTAGATGTCGATACTACAAAGCAGTAGTGTCACACCTAACACTCAGGCCATGTGGTGTCAACACCCAAAAGAGGTGGTGTCAACACCAGTAAGCAGAACAACAAGAGAGAAAAAGAAAAGGAAGCAGGTGTCGGCCCCAAGAGCGTAGTGTCAACACCCAGAGCTAGATTTCTAGGTTCCTAATGAACTTTCGACAAAACCAAGCGCGAACGAACAATCCTAACAAGTCTAGATCGAATTTTTACTCCACCAAAACAATGATACAACAACCCAAAGATCTAAATGACAAAAGAAATGGAAATTAAATACACTTTCCAAAGGTTTAAAGAACACAAGTGTTACACCTACAGTTATCCACTCTGCATAATAAAGGATGAAATCTCACAAGGTCACATTTTTCTTTACTTCTCGAACAAAGTCCACTTTAGGTAAACCAACAAGCTCTCGATTTTTTTTTTTCAAGACATAAGAATCAAACCATAGCTCCACTTCTTCCATTGGATGCAGTGCTGGCACTTCACCATGGCAAACTTTTTTCCTTGTTACATTTCAATTCATTGGTCAAACGCTTTACTTTCAACATAGAAAATTTCTAGGACCATGTAATTAACAAGTTGAGAGACAAGACGATGGATATTTAATCGACTGTTCTTCAAATTGTTTCCAGGTCAGCCATTGTTTTCTACTATTCCTCTTTAACTTTCTTTTTTGTTTGGAACTGTTTTCTTTGTCCTTGATCTCTCAACCTACGATAAAAACAAGAACTCATGCTACAAAGTGCCTTTTAGGCTTTTCTTGTACTCAAGAAAATTAACATCAATGCTCCATCAGGTAAAAGGTCGCTAGTCTTCATGTTACTTCCTCTAAACACACTATTTTGGAGATGAGTGGAAGTATTCACATTTGTTTGCCACAAATCCTTATTATTCTTCCCATAGTTGAAAATGTTAAATTGTTGATGATAGTGCAATCAAGTCTCCACAAGTCTATAAGTTATTGTTGTGGCCTGCACACATCGGACAGTGGTCTCACCAAGTTAAAGTAAAGAGCAGCTAAGATCTATCACGCCAAAAAAGTACTCGCCAGCTCAGTCATTAAATGGCAACACACTGGTCTCCTTTTACTCTATGAAACAACAAAAGAACTTATTGAGGCCAGGCAAAGGGTTAGGAGTTGGGTCAAAGGAGGCCAGGTGAATCCAATAAAGTCTTGAAAAGCTGATGCTTGGTCTCTTACACAAAAAATAATAGATCATGAACACAAAATCGAATATCAAGCTAGTAAAATGCTGCATAAAGTTATTTGAAGTTTAGCATGCATCAAAAGAAAACACAAGTAATCACTTATCAACAATTATTCAGATTATTAGCAGGTCATTGGAACCAATCCTTGGTTTGTAGTTGGAATTAAAACTAACTAACAAAAATAAAAATAAAAAAAATGAAGAGAAGAGCAGGAAATATCAAATTCCTAGCAGTGCTGTTTCTAGCTGGGAAGCTTTTATGCTTATTCTGTTGCAGCAATTGCCCATAATAAGTAGAGCCAGAAGAAGTTGAATTGGGCCCACAAACTGTACCCGAAAAGTAATACATTGCAGATTACTTACAGAAAACAATACAAATGGGTATGGTAGAGTCCACTTAAGTCCCTAGCCCAACAAAGCTATACCCAGAAAAATGATTACAGAATTTTGGTATATTTGATTTTCTTCTGAAACTCATAATTTTTTCTTTAGTAAACCGGTCAGTAGTTTGATTTTGGTTACAACCCAATAATCAGGTTGGGTGAGGCGGGACTCTCCATCTTACTTATAAAGAGGGACAGAATAATTTGGAAACCTTTTTCCAAACCATGATAACCTATAAAAATGTCAACTCTTACTCGAAAGAATCCAATTAAACATCAAAATATGTAGGCATTGTTAGAGTTAGTCACATGTAGCTAGAAACCTTATACACTAAATTATGCAGTAAATACTAACAAGAGAACACCATTAATCTCTTGCACAGTGCAACAACTCACTTCAAGTGCAGCTGGATCTTCTGGAGAGGCAGCAAGCGTTGCCTCATATTGTTGAAGCCTAGTCTGCCACAAAGCATGCTCAATGTTGTTAGAAGAGTTCACCATGAAGCTCACAACACACACAGCAATGACAAGATTAAAACGACCATAACTAAGGACAAAAATATAACAGAATTTGATAAAAATGAAATTAAATAGAGTATTGCAGAAGAAATACACATGATACTAAAACAAAATGATCACAAACTCAGTTAAGTGAACAATGCTCTCAAGCATTCACAAAAGCACATTGCATGTACATTTATCTGGGTGTGCATGCCTAAGAAGCATGGATTGACATGAGACACGAATATAACAAGATAAAACTCACCAAAAAGGCAATTTTCAAAAAATCAGGGCATGACACTAATACGAAGTATGTACGAATATTATATTATTGATAATCTGAATAATAAACAAAGATACAATTTAAATAGCAAATAAGAAAACCCTAAGTGCCTAATTACATTAAACAAGACTAGACTACCCTCAAATAATAGAATAAATAACATAAGACTAAACTACACACTTCTCCAACCCCCTTGCCCCCTCAAACTCATAATGCGAGCACGGAGAACATAGAGAGTTTGCCAAGAAGAAACCGAAAATGAGCAGTTGTGTGAGTCTTAGTGAAGAAGTCAGCCAACTAAAGTGATGAAGGCACAAAGGAAAGAGTAATGGTGCCAACCTAACGGTGCTAATGAACGAAGTGGCAATCTATCTCAATATGCTTCATGCGTCCATGAAAAACAGAATTATGAGCAATCTGAAGAGCACTCTGATTATCATAGTACAAAGAGATAGGACAAGAAAACAAAACATCCACATCAGATTGAAGCCAAAGAAGCCGCACAATCTTAGAAGTAGCATGAGCTATAGTGCAGACACTCCATTTTTGACAGGCCTTAAGACTTGGGCGCTCTATAAAAAGCTCCCAATGATGACAAAACAAGAAGGTGTTTCTCACAAAATCCTCAATAAGAAAACTTAGAATTTGAGCCCTGTTTCCAAACCTAAACAACCATAAATTACCTTTCCAGACTCTTAAAACCTATTTTCAAAATGTTTTTAAGGCAATTGGTACTTTTTCATTCATTTTGCCCATTCTTAATAGTATGTTTTCAAAAAATGTATAATTTGCCTTTCAAAAGAGTCAGATTAAAAAGCCAAATGAATGAGAAAACATGAAAAACCTTTCAAGAAAATCAGCGGAATAAGACCACGTCGGCCGAACATCTTTTCAAAACACATGTGGGACAACTTTTATCTGGCAGCACATGTAAGACTCCGGCAACGCACGACCAGACCATTTATGCTTTGCCGGACAACTTTATAAGGAAAAGCGCTGAACAACTCTATACCAGCTGGATAAGTCTTATCCGGCACAAAATCTTTGACGTCAGCCAAATAACTTTCTTGTGAGGTGTCCCAAAGATCTTGGAATATGTCACCCGGATCCTAAGGGATGTAAAGGCATATTCCAAGCCTCACAAGCCTATAAAACCCCCATTCTTTGGAAGATTAAGGATTCCAAAAATTTTAATTCCCAAGAGATTTGACCTTTGAGATAATGACTTAGTTAATTAGGTAATTGACTAATTTGAGTGAGATTTGGACATTGGAATTGATACACTTGGACTATCCTCTTCATCCCTTTGCTTGGAGACTTGGAGCTAGAGATCTATACTGGCCAGAGGAAGCTTGGATTAGAGTTTGTGACCAGCTTAGGCCCTATCTCTACTAGCTTAGAGGTAATCCCTACTTCCATTCTTAAGTTTCTTGCAATTTCTATCTCTTTTCTTTTCTTTTTGAAGCTTTCTTGAGATCGGATCATTGTTGGGTTGTTGATAATATAATTGGATTCTCTCTTCTTTACCCCCTTTCTATAGTTAGTAGAGGCCTATATAGTGACTTTGGCCAAGTTCAAATTGCTATTTCTTGATTCATTATGGGCTAGAAACTCAGGCACGGTTTCCTCTATGAGAAGAGATCGGTTCTTTCCACCCGAACCCATTTTACATGGATTTGAGTAGCTCGTACTCATTTCCATGAGTAGGAGGAAACCTTTCTCTTCTCATTAGAGTCTCCCTTTTTTCCTGTTATTTTGATTGGTTTTTACTGATATTGAAGCCCAGGCAGGGTTTCCTTCGCAAGAGTAGATTGAATCTCCCCTCTCATCACTATCTCATGCATCCAGGTAGTTTATACCCCTTTTCATGCGTTAGAGTGAGAATCTTTCTATCTTCATTGGAGCCTCTTTTTTTTTATCGCCTTATAGATTATTGCTGATGTACTTTCCCCTTGATGATAGATTGAATCTCCCCTCTTGTCACTATATTTCATGAATTTGGGTAGTTTATACTGATTTTCATGAGTTGAGGGTGAAAATCTCTCTTTCCTCATCAAAGTTCCCTTTATTTCATTTTATTACATTTTCTTTGTTATTATTCATTATATCCGTCGTGTGCATTGAAAAGTGTTTCTTTTCTCCCTACCTATACTCTCTACCTCTCCTCCACTTTATCTTATTTTGGCTTTATTTCATTTTCATAACATTTACATATTTAGTATAGAATCATGCATTCGAAATGCTATCATTATATTTTGATAGTTACGTGGTGTGTAGGTTCGATGATTCACATGCTATCTTATTAGTATTTGAGCTCCTAGGAACCATTGCAAATCTTGCATTAGTTATCATATCTAGGATCATGCACGTTTCTAATTAGTTGTTTTCCGTTGCGCTTGGCTGGAGTACTCGATGAGTTTTCTTTCACCCTCCTTTGCATATCATTTTGTCTGGCATCTAGGATCATGCATTGATTTCTAACCTTTTACGCTCTTTGCATGGTGTAGATGAGTACAAGGTGAGCCTCTTTTATCTTTGCATCCTGCTTGTGATTGCTTCTCACTATGTACCATGAGCCTAAGTGCTTATGTGATATATCTCCATATTTGTCTATTGTATCGAGACCTTACTACCTAAGTTGGAATGACTCCAATCTCTTCTCATAACAGTTAACTCGATTTTTCATGAGATTTCTACTTTCAAACCCTTTCAATGGCAAGAGATTAGAGAATCCCAAAGTAGGTGATTTGGTCTATACTTGTCTACTTCACATAGTATTAATGATTGGCTAAGAAGCACAGACACGAACTTGGATGCGGACATAGCGACTTCAGAAAATGGTGACATGGACACAACAGGAACACGGGAATAAAATATGTTTTTATATATTTTTATTTGCCTTCTTTATTAATATTACATCCACAAACAATCAATATTAACAAAAACTAACTCTGATTCGATATTTATTTATTTTTTAAAAAAAAACTTTTAAATTAACACTTGCAGTTTATATCTTTTTTATGGATGATCTATTAAGTATTTAAATCTAACAAAAGAATAATAAACATTAAACATTCATCAAAGCATTAAATAAAATGGGGGAAAAAACAACTTGGCATGTTCCCTAAAAATAAATTAATTAAATAAGGGGACACACTATGTGGTGCATGTGACACCCGATTTTTTTTAATTTAATTCAATACCGTGATTATATTAAATAGGACATATATATATAAAATAATAATAATAATAATAAATAAATACATAAATAAATAAGTAGAATTCCTTGATATATCAAAAAGTGCTTAGTGAAAGCTTGTGGTTTAAAACGTTAGCTGTTATTAATTTTAAAATATTAGACATCTTTGTTTAAAGGGATAGATTGTGGGACACAGCATTTTTAATATTAAATATTTTAGTAAGCGGTAAGTGAGGTTTTATAGTTTGGTGATGAAATTTTTAGACGTGAACCTAACTTATAATCATACGTAATTTTAGAGATTATTGTAAATTACCAAGAGGGTAATAACCGTACCAATTGTGAGAAGCCAAATCAATTTTTTTCTTGCACCAAAGAGTTAAATGACTCTTGGGAAATTTAGGGGTTAAAACCTGAGGGGTGAAACAGGTGGCAAGAGGGAAAATTACCTACGTGTATGCTTCTCTTGCTTGGGCCTCACAATTAGTCATGCATAAATATGGAGGGTTGGTGCTGTAGTAAGGGGCATTCAAGCAAGAGCATTCAAGCAAGAATCACACGTATAAGGCATTCAAGTTGCAGAGGAGCCTTACAAACAGGGAGTGAGTCAAGGTTAATTTTAGATTAATTGTAAAGTGAGTTATATTATACATTGAATTATCAAAATATATTTTACGCATATTTTGAGTTACCATAATTTATTTTACGTAAATTGTATTTTATAAATTATATTACTATTCAATTACATTGATTATTTTCTAAACTCTATTTGCTTAAATTAAACCCATTGATATGTTTGTTTATATTTTAGAAATTATTTGACAATGATTTTGTAAATATTCATTTTTTGTAACTACCACCATGGGAGTCTCACGCCTTGGGGGACTTAAATAAACTGTTGGCTTCTGTTTGGCCACTTTGTGGTCCTCTGTTTGTCATAGATCCATTGACCTCTGTTCTGTTTGTCACTTCAGTGACTTCTGTTATGTTCTATTCTGTACCGTGACTGTAGTTATTTACATAATTGTTGCATTTCAGTTTCTGCCACTTAAATAATTTGTTTATCTAAATTAAATTATGTTAATGTTTTAACTTAAATAACTATCCGTGGTTATTTTGTGCCCCTGTACTCACAGTATAATATTTCTCACTCTGCTATGTGCTTATAGCTGTTACCCCATTCAGGTGACGAGATTTAGTAGGATCAAGATGGGAGATGAATCGCAGTGTTTTTTTCCTTTTATTATTTGTTTTTCTGATCGGACTTTTGTAATAAAATGAAAAGCCCAAATGACTATTTTCCTTTTTAATGAACTTTTGGTACCCATTTATTTTACTTCAATTTATTTAATTTATCCGCTTGCGCTGCTACTACAGAAATTTTATAATTATTTTATTTTTATTAGAATTGTTTTATTTTATTATCTTGTTGTGACGCCGACCTTTAGGTACCGGGTTTGGGTCGTGACAGTGCAT